TTGATAAATACATAACAATAAATTTTTATAGTTAATATAGTTATATATATATAATATAGTTATAGTTAAATTTATAGCTAAAATTTTCATATTCTATGCGTATATCTGCTACCGTGACCCATTTCTATTGTATATTAAACGAATTCTACATAACTGAATAAAACGCATGGCATCTCTGAATTTTGCTTGATTTATACACCTCTGCAATGAATTAGAAAAATACAACATTGAGCTAATTGTCAAAAAATTTGATTTCATGTGTTTTTAAAGTTTACATTATTTTTTGTGTGTAAATAGTTATGGATACGTTTTAGGACCGTTTTTAGAATTTTCAATTACACAATCATAAAAATGGATACGGATATGGAGAGCATTCACACAGAAGTTGATGTAGAGTGTGACATATCTTCCAACTGTAGTTTGGACAAAGATTTTTACAAGAGAGCTCAACAGTATTGGTCAGAAGTTCCGGCGACAGTAAATGGAATGTTGGGAGGAATGGGCTATATAAGCGCAATTGATATACAAAGCTCTGGTAATTTTCTACGAGACTTAAAAACGTTAGGCACCAAATACGCTTTAGATTGCGGTGCTGGTATAGGACGTGTAACAAAAAATTTATTGATGCCTCGATTTGATGTGGTAGATCTTGTTGAACAAGATAGCGCATTTGCTACCAAAGCGAAGGAGTATTGCACAATGGATTCGGGAAACACTTTAGGTTTTCCTAATCGGCTTGGAACTATATACAATGTTGGCTTGCAAATGTTTACTCCAGATTGTAACAAATACGATCTAATATGGAGTCAGTGGGTACTTGGGCATCTAACCGATGAAGATTTGTTAACTTTTTTTCAGCGTGTTCGGATTGGATTAGCTAAAGGAGGTTATTTTGTAATCAAAGAAAACGTAACATCTACTAAAGAAGTAGAAAAAGACGAACAAGACTCATCTGTAACACGTCCCTTAAAAGTATACGAAGACACACTGCGTTTAGCAGAATTTCGGATACTGCGCATAACGAGACAACAAAGTTTTCCAAAAGGCTTGTATCCAGTATATATGATTGCTTCACGACCTATTTCCTATTTTGAGAAACCTCAAAATATACACTGACGTTTTATTAAATAGTTTTGACAAATGTAAAAAAATGTAACTAGTCTTGAATAAGAATTAAACTTGTTGGCTTAAAATTTTTATCGTTAATTTATTTTGATTTTTTTATTAGTCTTCACATATCGTACACGACAGACCTCTGATAAAAAATTTAACTAGCATTTCCATATTTAGGTAGAATTTAAGTAGCTGCTGTCTGGTAATTATATTAATTTTGTGCACAATAAGAATCATTTAATCAGTTTTAGAGAAGTGTGCGCATATCAAAGCTAAATCAATTTATGGTAATTAAATTAGTATTAGGTCGTTTCCATTGTCATAAGTTGATTTATGTATGTGAAAGACCTTTTATGTGTCAGAAAGTTCTTTTATTCGTTAACAAATAAATTGTTAGCAGAAAATATTTAGTCTTGTATAGTTAGTTAAAATTAATTAATTTATTATGAAGAAAATGCAAAAATTTTTGTGTATAATATATATTTATAAAAATAATTTTTTAAAATTGTTGTTTTTTAGCTTTTGTGTTTTTTGTTTATTAAGATTATATTTCGTGTGTCCAAAATTGATAATTTCCATGATTTATTGTTAATTTAGTTATACCATATTTCCCTTGTTTACTTAATAAGTTACTTAAGTAACTTAAGGATTTTGTCGTTTTCATTCACATTTGTTACTTTTTGCGTGAGAAAGACTTCGCTTATCACACAAAAAATTAAATATGTAATTGATGTATTAACACATATATATATTCTTTATATATATATCATTTATATATATACCTCAATGACTTTATTTACAGCTTAGCTGTTTGTTTACATTTTACATACAAAGCATAAGATACATATTTCAAACTTTGTTAATATCCCTGATGGGAAATTTATTATTAAGGGTTCCATTCGACATTTTTCACCTTTAATGAGCTGATTTATTGATTATGAGTTCATTTATATGAAAACTTTAACAGCTACTAGTCGTTGTAATAAAAAGAAATCTTGTACAGAAGAGAACGCTTTGCCGCTACCAAAATCAAACATATTCATGAGTACAAATTATTATAAAATAAATTTAACGCAAAAAAATTTAAGATTTTTTCAAATTTATTATTTCTATCGATTAGGAAGAGTTTATAAACGAATATAGTTGAATTAATTTTAAATTAATTAGGTACGTTTTTCTTACTACTAAAATGAAATTGCTAAATAGAACTCTTGTCATACGTCATCAATATCAAAAGCAGAGGTGAAGAACTTAGTATTCTATTCGTTGTTTAACTTATTCGTGGGACCGCGTTTGAATTTGGTCAGTTTAAAAATGTCTGCGAAACGATTACAGCCAAAGTGGCACGAACCTGCCTGTGTGGATCGTCCAAAATTGCGCTTGTTTAATAGTCTTACGCGACAAAAAGAGGACTTTATTCCATTGGATGGTAATAATGTGACGTGGTATAGCTGTGGTCCTACTGTGTATGACGCATCCCACATGGGGCATGCTAGGTAAAAACATACCAACTATATTTGCCACATCAAAGGCAATCATGATGAAATTATTATCTTATCTTGCAAGTGTGCATGTTCTTCTTTAAGGTCTTATATATCTTTTGATATATTGCGGCGTGTTCTTGCCGATTTTTTTGGTTACAATATTCATTATGTTATGAACATCACTGATATTGATGACAAAATAATAAAACGAGCACGACAAAATTATTTGTATGAGCGATATGTATTGTCAATGGAAACAAGCCCATTAGATAAGCTACTCTCTGACCAAAAAGAAGTGTTGTGTGCGTTTAAAGCAACATGTGCGCAAAACAACGATCCGGATAAGAAAATCATGTTAAATAAGATATTAGAACGCATGAATGATGCAATAACAATGCTTACAAATGCTGTTTCCAATGGTGACGAAATTGAATTAAAGAAAGCCCGCACTTCTTATTTAATTGAAGCCAGAGACCCTCTATCTGATTGGCTAGATCGGAAAGAAGGTTCACTAGTGACTGATAATGCAATTTTCGAATCTCTACCTAGATATTGGGAAGACCAGTTTCATAATGATATGAATGCTCTAAATGTATGTATATTTATTTAATTTTTTCATATATAATTGTATATTTTTAGATATTACCACCAGATGTCCTGACTCGGGTTTCCGAATATGTTCCCCAAATAATTACGTTCATTGAACGAATTATTGCTAACGGTTTAGGATACGCAATAAATGGTTCGGTTTATTTTGATGTTAATGGATTTGATAAAAGAGAAAAACATCACTATGCTAAATTAGTACCAGAAGCGTATGGCGATACAAAAATATTACAAGAAGGGGAAGGGGATTTATCAACTACAGAAGATCGTCTTTCAGAAAAAAGGTCTGTTAATGATTTTGCATTATGGAAAGCTAGTAAATCTGGTGAACCATGGTGGAATAGCCCTTGGGGAAAAGGTCGCCCTGGTTGGCACATTGAGTGTTCAGCAATGGCATCTGATATTTTTGGGCCTAAATTTGATATACACACTGGAGGAGTTGATTTAAAGTTTCCACATCATGATAACGAGTTAGCACAGTCGGAAGCAGCATTTGATGAAGAAGATTGGGTAAAGTATTTCCTTCATACGGGTCACTTAACCATCGCCGGTTGCAAAATGTCGAAATCTCTTAAAAATTTTGTAACAATTCAACAAGCTTTGCAAAAGCATTCTCCAAGTCAACTACGGCTTGCTTTTTTGTTGCACTCATGGAAAGATACGTTGGATTATTCAGACAACACAATGGATATGGCAGTTCAATATGAACGTTTTTTAAATGTGAGATCAATATAAATATTTTTTTCTGACACAAATATTATTATTTTTATTTTAGGAATTCTTCCTTAATGTAAAAGATCTTACTAGAAAACATACTAGTTCTGAAAATCCATGCAATCTTTTTGATGCTTGGAGTAATGTTGAATCAGATTTACAAATTCAATTTAATAATATACAATCTAAAATATATGAGGCTTTGTGTGGTAGGTTTTTGATTAATAACACCAAACAATAATAACACTTAAGTTTAATATTTAGATAACATTGATACCCGTACAAGCCTGGATTTGATACGAGAACTTATATCTTCTTCTAATGTCTACATACGTGACAACAAGGAAAAGTTAAACAGTTTACTCCTAAGAAGAATAGCTGCTTATGTCACTGACCTTTTTAATATATTTGGCGTTATTAAAGGAAATCGTGGTGGTATTGGCTTTCCAATGAAAAGTTCAGGCGATGGAAATGTTGATATTGAATCGACTGTATTGCCTTATGTCAATGCAATAGCAGAATTTAGGAACCAAGTTCGCAAGCAAGCTAAAACAACTAAGTCTACTGAGATCCTAAAATTTTGTGATGAGCTACGTGATAATATTTTACCAAACTTGGGTGTTCGTTTAGAAGATAAAGATGATGATAAATACGCGGTAAAACTAGTAGATCGGGATACATTAGAAAAAGAACGCCAACTAAAACTTATAGCTTTAGCAGAACGTGAAGCTGAAAAAGATAGAAAAAAGCAAGCAGCTGCTGCTGCTTTAGCTGCTAAAGAGGAGCAAAGAAAAATAGATCCAAAGAAAATGTTCCTTAACGAATCTGACAAATATAGTGCATTTGATGGAACTGTAAGTAAATATTTATTATTGCATTTTAAATATTATATTATAACTTTATAGGGTCTACCCACTCATGACCAGGATGGCAAAGAACTTAGTAAAGGATTAATAAAAAAGTTAAAAAAATTGCAACTGCAACAAGAACAGAAGTATTCCGATTATTGTTCTTCAATAAAAGGACAGGACAGTTAATAATTACATTACATTTCACACTTGAATTATGCATTGATATTCAATTTTTAATTTATTAAAAAAAAATTACCATTTATACAAAACAAAATATGTATTTTATTTTAATTTAATTTTCCAAAAACAAAGTTTTCTATCACACGCTGCACCTATATATGGTAACCGATTGTGAAAGGAAATACCACCAAACAATTTTAGTGGTGCTTCTATTTGTGGAACTACTGATTTCGAAGTGTAAACTTTAAGAGTAATATCGGGGCGGCCAATACTAGCTATAAGTAGTTCGGTTGAAGGCGAAAATAATATATTCCGTCCACAGTCTTCATGCATTTGCTTTTTGTCTGTTGGTGAGCTTGGGTGCCTCAAGTCCCATGTAATTACATCGCCACCGGCTAATGTTGCAATACAAAAACGATTTTCTAAGGACCAATCTGCCGACATTAATGGAAATTTTGGTGTCTCTATAGATATTATAGCTTGTTGTGAGCGCACATTGTACATATGTACAATTCCTTTTTTCTCTGCAACTAAGACTTTGTGAGGATCTTCCGGATGCCATTTAACAGACATCCCAGCTGATGAGAGACAAAACGTTGTAACAGTTTCAAAATTTGACTCAACGTTCCAAATTTTACATGAATGGTCATCACTAACAGACGCAAGATATTCACCTTCAGTGTCCCAGTTTACGTCGTTAACATAATTAGAATGACCTATATACAAAAGAATAAAATAAATGTGTTCAAAAATAATGACTAATATTACCTTTTAAATCTTGTACAGTATCTGAATTTTGAAGATCCGTACGGAAAATTCGTAATTTAAAATCTGACCCAGCTGCACAGAATATAACTGTTTTTGGTATACATGCGAGAGATGTTTCTGGTGCAAAACAAAGTGCACTGCAGCGGCTTTCGTGGTATATATCCTTAATACGTTCCCATGCAAATGTATCAACTTCAGATTCTTCCTACGAAATAATTTAGTAATAATAATAAAATAAATAATAGAATGTCTTACTGGAAATTGGATTAAAGCAAGTGTTAATTTTT